AGGAGTGGAAGAGAGAAAGTTAGCTTAAGAAAGCGCAGCTCCGGGAGGCGGGAAAAAACTGAAATACAAAGACAACAAGAGGTGAACCTGGACGCAGTTTCGGGCGAGGTACGTTCAAAAGAGAGAGGGGGAAAGGAGAGTTGGAAGGGATCTAACTTGCTCATTCCTGAACGAAATAGGGTGAGCCGGACATCGAACCTGGAGGTTCGGGGGCAGGCGACCATGAATCCGAGCTCACAATTGGACGGGAGTTAGGGAATGGTGAGCTAGGTAAGAAATAACGTGCGCGGAGGAGGCCGGGAGCTATGGGGGAGAAGAGGGTAGTCATCAGATCTCGGCCGTTCCTTGGCCGTTTGTGGCAATCTAAGATGGTAAGTGGGGGTTTTGAGGCCTTCTGAAGGCATTGGACGAATCAGAATTGTGATCTGAGCAGCGGTTTGGGCGGGTGGAGCGSCAGGGRCTGYGCGACTGTGTGAASCAGCTGAAGATGGTGAATGCATCCTCCCATGTTCAGGCGGGAGATCCATTYTCGTCYTSCGAGCAACGAAGCGGGCYGACCCTTATGCTGTYCGTTCCTACTCRTAGTTGAGAGCCGTTCTGCTCAGTTTCGCGCCGCCAGCGAGGTCTCCTCTGACGACCTTGTTGCTCGTTGCGCTATCATAACCGCCTCYGCCGAGGAAGGGCAGTGACTATGTTATAAGCATYGTTACAAACACTGGTCGAAGTAAAAGCYGTTTTCCTCCATMAGAACCTGCCCCCAACACTCRTCGGCATCMCAATYTTCRTATGGCATAYGGAAGAGAGCCTTGAGGGGGACTTGAGGGGGTGAGGGGAACTCGGCRACGAAGGAAGCACCAAGGGAGAGGAAGAAAGGTCGGAAGCACATATAAGGAAGGATGGGAGCTGACGGGGGAAAAAGAAGGAGAAGTTGGTGCATCTGTTGTCGTGGGGAGTCTTCGTARAAAGGGCCGGTRCCGATAGCGCCCGCGGGTGGGGAGCAACTGCCCATCGCCCTGCTGACTTCCGGTGGACCGATGCACCCGRCCACTTTTCTAGCGGATGGTTCACTCCGAATCCGCTCGTCCAGCAGATGGGAGTGACGCGAGGACCAGTGGAAGGGTTGGAAGCTTACTTGTTGACCTCGGGCAGTCGGATGCCGAGAGGAAGGCAGGGGAATACGTACCTGGACCTCTTCTGCAGGAAGGTCCACTCTCGTCCCTGCCGTTAGTAGGTGGCAGTTGCGGCCCAATCCTGATATTCCGGCATCTCGGTTGTCCCGGAATGGTCGAAGTTTCACCTTCGACAGACCACGCTGGGTCATGTGCACTAGAGAAGGGAGGTTGGGCTTCCCGGTGTTGCAGGGGTGCTTTTGCTAATTCGGTTGTTGTGCCCTTTGCTGCCGCAGAGACGGCCAAATGGAGGTCTGGTAAGTAGGGTGTTCAGAGAGTGGCTGCGCCTCACGGTACCACAGCTGCGGTTCCAGCTACCGCGACCTTCTTGCTTGGCCCCTGCTGTCGGTGCTGATCCACGCTGCAGCAACTATCACCAGACAGAAGAGGAGGAGGGAAGATCTATCTGGTGGGCTGTGGGGTCATAATTTCTTTGACGTGCTG